TCTTTAAAACATGATGCAGTTTGACAATTTCACTGTATCAAATGAGCAATGGAAATATATAAGGAAAGAAGATCTGATTTTACCATGTGAATAGTAACTAGGAAGATTTTAGTGGAACTGAGGGAGTAGATAAGACAATACGTAATGAAGTCTCTTAGTGTGGTTGTGTTGTGCAGTTCAAGACTTCGAGTAAAGAACATGTATAGAATATTGCTTTAACTGGAAGTTGAATTTCAAATTGTTTTATTGAATGAATATAATCACTTGGTTGGGCATGCAGACATGAGCTCAATCCACATTTCGCTCTTTGTTTATCTTTAATGATGTTTTTCTTCTTGTTCATGTTTTGTGTTAAGAAGCTTAATATACTGATTCAGGAATTGAAGCTGCTACATTGTCACATTATGCGTGTGAGACTGTGAGGTGTGATAAATTAAAAGTAGCCACTTCTTTCTTTGAAATCGTCTCTAGCCTTTGGATTTAATATTTCATGTTAAGTCTCAACGAACTGACAAATTATTAGGTTTTTTGTTGATGCTTTTAAGAAAACTTCCGAAGTTTCAATAGTTTTCTTGGATACCTAGACTACACTAGGTTTAAATGTTTTCATGGATGCCTATACTAAGTGTAAATGTTTTCATAGATTCCTATACTAAGTTTAAATGTTTTCATAGATGCATAGACTAGGTTTAAAGGTTCAAGGAATTAGCACAATGCCTAGATCAGGTTTAAATGTTTTCATGGATGCATATACTACTTTCATCATTTCATGGATGACAAAGAATGGATCCGTGTGCTTGTGTTTCCGGTGCTTCTCGCTAGACACAAGCAGGATCAACACATTATTAGGTGCAACACACACTAATTGATGATCCATATGTTGCTATCTCAGGTGTAACATACAGTATGTCTTTGGAGATACCATTTGATAACAAAAATCTTAAAATTCCAGCCCTAGTTTTACCAAGCTGTAATCAGTAGCATGCCTTCCGTTGCAGGTTCAATCATTTAGATCTCGGGATGAAGTGGACGTTTGGCTTTTCAATAATGCTATGCAATGCCCTGGAGCTCTTCATTTTGTTGAAAGAAGTGCCAGTGTAATTAGTTATGGTCTACAGACCAATTCTACTCCAGTGGCTAAACGAGGGATTTTTGAAGATCCCACATTCAAGTTCCAAATCCCCCTCCAACTTGCAGCAGAGCGTGAAATTGCACGATCTCTGATTGGAGGTATGGGAGTGGTCAATAGTTGTACTTTCCATCTGATTGAAACATGTATACTTAATAATATTGTTTTCTTTCATATCATAATGGAACTTCTATGGCCATTATGTTGTTAGATCCAAACTTCAGCTGGCTTGTCACTATCAGGGAATTTGCACATCCTGCAGTTGGAACGTTTTCTGCTATTGGTGCAGCTGGACCAACATTTTTCCTGGCAATTGCCATGTTCTCTTTTGTCTTCCAAATCAGTGCTTTAGTCATGGAGAAAGAACTTAAACTCCGACAGGTCTCGCATACTTTGAGTTCTCCAATCACGAAAACTTTTTCCTTCATTTTCTGGAAGTGTGCTCACATTTTTCATGTCATATCTGGTTACAGGCTATGACCATGATGGGTCTCTATGACACTTCATATTGGTTATCATGGCTCACATGGGAGGGCATTATGACACTTCTATCAACACTTACAATATTATTATTTGGGATGATGTTTCAGTTCAATTTTTTCTTGAACAACAGTTTTGCAGTTCTATTCATGCTGTTTTTTCTTTTCCAGTTCAATATGGTGCGTTTCACATGCCAGTTCAAATTCTTCACACCATTAAATTTGCTTATTTTCTGTAGTATTAACACTACAAAAAGAACTAATATTGTATTTTACTGCTAATATATGATATATCATATTTGCTGGTAACCAGATTGGGCTTGCTTTCTTGCTATCTGCTTTTATTACCAAGTCATCTTCCTCAACAACTGTGGGATTTTCGACTTACATTGTTGGTTCCTTGACTCAGGCAAGGATCTGTTTTCATTTATTAGCAAATATCCAATAATTAATTATTCATGATGATAACTGATTTCTCTTTATTCTGTTTCTTTTCCATTTTCCCACACAGATTGTAACAGCATTTGGATTTCCATACAGCGAGACATTCCCTAAAATTTACCGGATCATTTGGTCATTTTTTCCACCAAATCTTTTTAGTCAAGGTATTAAGCTGGCTGCGGATGCAACTGCTAATCCCGAAGATCTTGGTGTTAGCTGGAATAGAAGAGCAAAGTGTGCTCCAAATGATAATGAGTGTCTAATAACCATTGTAGGTAGACTTTTTTGCTACTTCAGCAATGCACTTTTTTATTTTATTTTATTTTATTTTATTTTGTTTTATGGGAGCTTTGTAATTGGTAAGTTCGTAGTTCAACAATCTATCTCTGAATTCAGTCTGCATTGATTTTCAGAGTGTGAGAGAGAGAGAGAGAGAGAGAGAGAGAGAGAGAGAGAGAGAGAACTCAGAGAAGCTTTCCCTTTTCTGAGAGAAGCAGATAATAGGGTAGCAAGAGTATAAGAAAATATCCTAATGTAAATTAGAACAAGGTCTCCAAGAGATGAAAACGATTTCAAAGTTTTCTTATATTCAAAATAATACGATCTTGCTCTATTGAAAGCAGAGAATCAAGATGAGGTTACTTCTGATTTCTGAAAGCAATACAATAGGAATTATGGGGATGTGGATAGGTACTGAAGGTGGACTCGGTAAGTTGAGTTCTTAGCTATGATTTCTCAGATTCTCAGATCTGAAAAAAGGAGCAGAAAAATCAATTGAACAATTAGAAGGAAGAAGGAACTCTTTTTATTGAAAGCAGGAACTCTTTAATTTCTTTATTCCATAATAATGTATATAACTTTAGGTTTTTAGAGGCATACACTCATAACGCAATAAGAAAACCTTTTCGAGTCGTACCAAATAATTAGTTGCTAGAATTAGTTGCTAGAAGGACATGAAATTGGGCGTATAAAGCCAGCTTCTAGTTTTTTGCAGTTTGGTTTTCAATTTTGGTTTTTTCGGTGTTGACTATCTGTAGGGGCGAATGTTTGGTGGTTTGGAAGTGGGATAAGAGGGATGTGGTTTATATCGTTTCAGAATGGAGGTTAGGAGATAGGTTCTTGAAAAATAGAATCATATTCAGTAAGGATGTCTGTATAGGGATTGTTTCAAGAGAAGGGGTTATGAAAATGTTTTGTTGGGTGTATGATCTAGAGTTTATAAGTGGAATACCTTGTAGGTTATATTGCTGCTCATTCCACGTGAAGGTGAGAAACACATTGTTCCAATTGGCTCGTAATGTGTTCAGGGAAGCCAACCACTGTATCTTAACACAAAATCAGCTCTATCAAGAGGGAATGTATAAAAGCTCTATCGTATTGTGAACCAATCTTGAACTTGTACTTCAATAAATGAACATAGCATACAACAACGGATGATGTCCCCATTCCCAATCTGCACACCAAATGGAGGGACAACATTGGTAGGTAGCTTGACCTCATCAACCACAGTATCACCTACGAAGTTATGAGTAGACCAACTGTCGGTAAGGATAAGTACTTCTCAGGATCCCATCTTACCTTGCAACTTCTTGGTGGTAATATTTGTTTTACTCAGAACAATGTGAAACTAATACTTGTGAAAATTATGTCTGAATCATTTTCTGGGCAAGATTTCCATCCGTTTCCGCTTTCTTCAACTTCATCATTTGTCAATACCAGGATTGCTTAATGCCCAGGATTGCACCAATGGCCTGGACTGTATTTGAACTTGCAGCTAAAACAAAGTCCTTGTGTAATTCAGGATTGTTTCTCAGTCTCCTAATTGTGGCTGAAATTCACTCTTGCTGATAGAATTTTAGTGAACATGAAATCCCCAAAGGTCTATTCATCGGACAGCATTCCATGGTGTCATGGGCACTCTAGGGTCTATTCATCATGGTCCACAAATATACTATCTATCCAGTAAATGGAGAAACATACACCAAGAATGCAAAGAACATGAAATCCCCAAAGGAATTACCCAGCCAGAAAACTTGCTTGACAGCCTAAGACTGCTCATCTTTAAGGATTCTTAAATTGCATTAATCTCTCAAGTCTCAATACCACATATGCTAAAGGAAATCCTTAAATACTCTCTCCATCTTGGTGTTTTCATCCAGTTTCTTTATGGCACACATACCAAGAGAAGGAAAGAAGTAGAGGGAAATGTCTAAAATACCCTCATTATCCAAAACAAGGGCACATAGAATTGAAATTATCAAGATTAGAAGTTTGGATTTTCCTCCGTCTCTTTCTTTGAAACCCCTGACGTCTCCCTTCATTGACGGGGTTTGTTGCCATCATCCTTGCAAAAATTACAAAAATCGACGGCACACTATTTCATGAAATTGGTGGTGTTCTATCATTGACATACTTGGTAACATAAAAATGGATCTTGCTGCTGCCTTCTTCATCATTGTCATCGTCACTTTTTTTCTTTGATTTGTAGAGATGGATCTCGTTAGAGTAAAGAGATCTTGCGTGAGGGAGATCTGAGCAGGAGAGCAGACGGAGATCTTAAAAGAAACAAAAATTACTCCAAATTGATATCGTCTTTTAATTTCTTTGTAGCTGGCATCAACACTTCTTTTGTTGCCGGCGTAGTGGTCTTCTTCGTTTGTATAATTACTCCAACTTTAATTAGTCCTGGTTAGGGTCAAGATCTCTTTCTTCCATATCAAGTTCTTTGTCGCCAGGTGCTTTGATGGGAGTAAGTACTTGCACACCAACAACCCAGTAGAATCTGGCAAAAGTAGGGTCTGGGGAGGGCATGTCTGTGCAGACCTGACCCCTACTTGAAAGTAGAGAGGCGGAGTGAGTAGTTGTATGAGAAAAAAAGAAGTAATTAAAATTTAAGTGAAGGGTAAAAGAGATAATTGAGTATTACTAAAAAAGGAATGTGGACCAGAACCGTGGGACGACCCAAAAAAGAAATGTACACAAAAACAATGGGATGGAAGGAGTATAATCTAGCACAATGTGCATAAAAATTGAGATTATAAATTGATTAAAGAATTGTAGGAGTGAATATACAAGTCTCTAATTTCCAGCACCAATCTGAGCCCTGAAATCTATATTTGCTTGACAGTCTTTATTTTGCTAGAGTCCCTTAATTTTATCCGTCTCTATCATGTTGTATGTAAAATGTGGATGGTGAAGGCCCAAGAACTGACTGTTCAATGTGTTTGTGTCTTTCTCGCCTTTGGCTTATCACTTATGAATGAGATTATTTACAGTGAAAAAGAGGTCAACTACAAAATTTTAATCAGCTGAGACGAAGGGGGTAAGAATAACCTGAAGTGGAAGAGCTGCATGAATGCCGGATTCTTGTTTTCATTTAGCTTAATTTTACTAAGCTTACATATTCCATCAATTTCTACACGTAATGTTTTAGTCTGATTTTGTTTTCTCAACAGAATGACATTTATATATGGCTCATGTCAACATGCTTTCTGTGGTTTGTTCTTGCAATCTACTTGGACAACATAGTTCCGAATTCATCTGGCGTGAGAAAATCAATTTTCTACTTCTTGATTCCTGGTTACTGGACAGGAAAAGGTGGAGATAATGTATCTGGTAACTGGCTTCCGAGCTATTGTTTTTAATTTATTTGCTCTCTTGGAAAATCTCAGTGACCCAAAAACTTTGAAAACGTATGTTCTTATTCAGAGGGCAGTATCTGTAATTGTACCGGTGCAATTCTGGAATCAGAAAGTAGTGTTCCAGATGATGAGGATGTTCTTGAAGAAGAAAACACAGTGAAACAACAAGCAAATGATCGCAAAATTGATTCTACAGTAGCAGTTCAGTTATGTGGCCTTGTGAAGATGTATCCAAGTTCAAGGAAGATTAGCTGTTGTAATTGCAAAATGAACTCACCTTATCATGCTCTGAAGGTACAATGATGTTTTTTTATTAATACGTATCTAGTTAGTCCAAAGGGACTACATTAAAACTAAATAGTCCTCTTTTTACGTGTTTGACAAAGTTTGTGGATTAGAAAATGTCCAGTTCTTAACGTACTTAAGCCAATAACCCATGAAATAAGTTGGACTTCATTATGTATTGTTTTTTAACCAATCAGTTACTAAATAATGGGGCAAAAGGAACCTGTCACCATTTGTGTTCCGATTGAGTAATATACATGCTAACAATATACTAGCCGGCTTGAAAGGGGCCATTTTTTACTCCCTCCTGCCATACTTGTCTGTCTACTACTCTACTTCACCAAAATTACACATATTAAGGAAGTAGCATACATTGTATAAATCAATTACAACTTATCTGATAGTATAGTACCAAGGATACCCTTATTTATGAACTCACTATGCATTTAATACTGTGTTTTAAACCATCTTTTCATGTTTTCTAATGCGCATCATATTTAATTGACTGCAAGTCCAAATAAATCCTGCATAAATTCATTAAGGGTAAAACAAGAAAAACGTAATAAATGCTGCACAAATTCACTCAAGTGAGAGATAATAAAAATGATTACCAAAGCCCTCAAAAAGTAGACAACTAACTAAATAGGGCAGGGGGAGAAACACACAACATTTGATGCATTTGCTACTCTTTATATATTTCACCATGTCAATTGGCTAAAGTCCAAATTGTATGTATGAATTCTGGGAAATCCTGTGATCATGGCTAGAACTAATGTACAGAGGTGGTAGTGTGCTTCTTTACAAGTAAAACACGCTCATGCAAAAAGTTCACATTTTTGTAGAATTGTTGTACATTTTTTGCAATGACTAATTATAAGATTTCAACTTTATGTTCTGCTGTGGTCTAGCCCACCAAGTATACTGTTAGTTTTTGAAATAGATTGTATTTATACATCCCGAGAAACCGTATGACATGGGGTGTATGCAGGGCTTGTGGGTAAATTTTGCCAAGGATCAGCTGTTTTGTCTTCTTGGGCCCAATGGGGCTGGAAAAACTACTATTATAAATTGTTTGACTGGGATAACACCTGTTACTGATGGCGATGGTAGTTTCTTTCCTTACTAAGTTCTTGTTTAGTATGAACTACTACTGAACATATGACTATTCATTTTAATTTTACAGCATTAATATATGGATGCTCAATCCGCAGCTCAACTGGCATGTCAAAGATTCGACAGATGATTGGTGTTTGTCCACAAGTAAGTCTATTTTCACAATTTCTCTCTTGCGTTTTCAGCGACTGAATGACTCTAGTCCCTATGTGATGACCATCTTTCCATTTTCACAGTTTGATATTCTCTGGGATGAGTTGTCTGGACAGGAACACCTCCAACTCTTTGCCACCATTAAAGGTTTATCACCTGCTTCCATAAAATCGGTGCGTTACTATTGATAAAAGAAACCAGTACTGCAACTCATTGCCAACAACTTAATCCTTAAAAGAACCCAACTACTTGGGGTCGGTGACATGAAATGTAGTGCCAATTAATCTGTAATTTAACAACCTACTGATGTTTCACAAGTGGGGTCTAGGGAGGGTAGGAGTAGACAGACCTTACCTTACCTACAGAGGGTACAATGTAATTTAGTTAACACTAAATTCATGAAAAAAAGACAGCCTCAAAGGCTTCATTTTGAAACCTTCGTATGAAGGAATGATAAGACAGAACCATCATCATCAGATGTTATTTCTACTTGCATTAGAATATCATGAAGCAATGATGAGGTCAGTTCATAAGTGTAGTTCAATAGCGTGCCCATGGAGGAAGAGGGAGGGGAGGGGGGGGGGGTAACCTCCAGACCCCAATGGAGTTAGGATTGTAGTAACTAAACCGTGTTGTTGTAAACTTTTTTACCAAAATTTATATGGACGAGTTGTTTCCCTTGTCCACCCAAAATCTGGCTTTTGAAGAGTCCCGATACACTTAACGGTTGAGATAATTGTTAAACTCATGTTCCATTCACCATTGATACTGTAAAACAAACCTGCAAATCATGGAACATGACTGGAAACCATAGACTGAGATTACCTCTCGAATATGCAAGTTTTCTGCATGCTTCTTGTGAATCACAGGTCGTGCACAATGCATTAGCTGAGGTTAAACTGACTGATGCTGCCAGAATGAGAGCTAGCAGTTACAGTGGAGGAATGAGGCGGCGTCTCAGTGTTGCAATAGCTCTTATTGGCGAACCGAAATTGGTTATTCTAGATGAACCGGTGGGTACAAAATGTGTCTACCATTGATTGCTGAGACATTGTCTGATATATGTTTTATTCTGTTCCTCATGACTAACTTCAAAGACAACCGGCATGGATCCAATAACAAGACGACACGTCTGGGATATAATTGAGGGTGCAAAGAAAGGGCGTGCCATCATCTTAACCACTCATTCTATGGAAGAAGCTGATATTTTAAGTGATCGCATAGGCATCATGGCAAAGGGGAGACTTCGTTGCATCGGGACTTCAATAAGGTTGAAGTCAAAATTTGGAACTGGTTTTATTGCTAATGTCAGTTTTTCTGGAGGGACAAGTACTACAGAAGACACTTTGCGTACATATCCACATCAAGCAGTAAAACACTTCTTCAAAACTGTATGTAAATAAAGGAATCTCGTTTTCTATTGCTGAGGTTAAATGCTTGGTTGTACTTTAGTAATTTTTTTTTTGCAGCATTTAGATGTGGTCCCTAAGGAAGAAAACAAATCCTTTCTGACCTTTGTAATTCCACATGACAAGGAGAGCCTTTTGATGGTACTGCTTTTATCATTCGAGATTTTATTTATGTTGTTTTATATCCAGGCAAATGAGATTTCTAGAAGTGAATGTTGACATCCCTTTTCCTCCCCTGTACCCTACCCAGGAGTTCTTCACGGAACTCAAAGACCGAGAAGGAGAATTTGGAATATCAGACATCCAACTAGGGCTCACAACACTGGAAGAGGTTTTCCTAAACATTTCTAAGCAGGCCGAATTGGAAAGTGCTGCAGCAGAGGGAAGTTTTGCTACTCTTACATTGAACTCAGGGTCATCTCTACAGGTAAAATTTATTAAAGCTTAGATCTTTTTTCCTGTCAGAACAATACCTTTGTTCCAAAACTCCCTTTGTAGAGTCCTAAGACCCACCTGATCCCTACTAAGGCTCTAGGCTTCCATTGCACACCTAAGACACTTCTAGGGCTTTTTAGAAAACTAGAATAGAACATAAAAGAAGACCCTAGAGTGCAATGTGGTCAAATCCATTTACATTTTCATAATAACCGTGCAGATACCGGTGGGGGCAAGATATATTGGGATTCCTGGGACAGAATTTGCCGAAAACCACGGAGGTATTATGGTAAAAGTTAACTGGGAACAAGATGATTCTGGTAGATTGTGCATCTCCGGCCACTCAGAGGAGATGCCAATACCTCCTCATATTGAAATGACAGCTTCTCCAACGACCACTTCTGGTTGGGGCTTTAGACAACGAAGACAAATTCGGGGAGTAGTAATCGATCCTGCACAAATGAACTACACAAATGTACATTGATGAATGACTTTATTATGCTAATCACGCGACGGAAGGTATACAACAACAGTAAACTCAATATAATCCCAACTCCCTTGGTGTTTGTAGGATATACAAGATAATACTCCATACTTCTTTTTCATCTCAATGGTTTGCTATTACTCTCCCGTTGTCCATTGTGAGGGTTCTTAGTTCCTATCACATGGTGGTGCCAAACATGTTGAATGAAATAATGGTATGTTTGGGAACATACCATTATTTCATTCAACATGTTTGGCACCACCATGTGATAGGGAACATGGATTTGGATTTCAAATCCAGATTTGGCTCAAATTCCATGTTTGGGAAACTTAAAACTTTTGAATTGGATTTGAGTCAAATTCTTCTCATTCATAACAAAGCTTAATTTGAAATACATGCACCTCCCCTTGTCATTTGAAATTCAAGATTTCAAATTTTGGAATTGAAATGCATGAATTGAAATGAAATTCTAGTTGCCAAACACTACCTAAAATAATTTGGTCAGAATGGTAGAATGGTGGATACATTGGCAGTTCGTATTTCAGATTTTTTAATACACTATTCCCAATAATAATCACAGGCCCCTAAAACCCCAATCTAAGAGTCTTGGAGAAGGTAAACCTACAACTCCACGGTCTCTTGGGTTTCCACGTAGTTTGTAGACTTCTATTTAGGCTCTGTTCCGTACGCCTGATCTGATTGAATCTGATCTGAATTTTTGAAGTTCTGATCTGATCTGATTTGATTGGGTCTGATCTGATCTGATTGGATCTGATCTGATCTGATTGGATCTGATATGATCTGATTGGATCTGATCTGATCTGATTGGGTCTGATCTGATTTGATTGGGTCTTATCTGATCTGATTGGGTTTGATCTGATCTGATTGGATCTGATCTGATCTGATTAGATCTGATTTTCTCTAATTAGATCCGGTGTAAATGAATTTAAATTTAGTTTAAATTAAACTTAAAATTATTACAAAATTTAGTAGTTTTAAAGTATTACAATTCATATATACATAAAAAAAAGTAAAATAAGAAAATCAACTAATCATTAATATGTTTAAACTTTTTTAAAAAATATTAAACATCTTTTCAATATCACAACTTTTTTAATTTTTGTGAAAACTAAATAATCGGTATTAAAATAAACAAATATTAGAAAATATTGATGCTATTCTACAAAATTATCACATTCTATATACTCATTACATAATAATATATTTCATGTTATAAATTAAAGATCATATAAAATTTTAAACACTAATATCATTTTCACTTCTATCAATTTTGTCATAAACTCATCCTTGAGTATATTATACCATCTTAAAGTTTAAAAGTAAGTCTTTTTAAATATAAAATATTTATAGTTTTGAAAACTAAGTTTTGTATAATTACTCCGTATTTTATAAACAAGTATTTTAAAATAACTCTTTTTAAAGTATGAAAAATAAAACTTTTTAAGCTTTAACATTGCTTCCATGCATCATTTCTATCCTACATGCTAAACAATAATAATAATAATAATAATAATAATAATAATAACAATAATAATAATAATACAACAATAATATTTAAAATTATAATATTAATTAAGATTTAGGTGTGTGTAGTTTTAATTAAAGTAATGTGATTTAATCAAATAATAGTAATTATTATTTAATCCTTGAAAAATATAAATATTATCTTTTTGTTATAAAATGAGAGAAAAATTACTCAGAGATTAAGATAATAGATATAATATATTTCTGAATTCTTCTCTCTATTAACTCTTCACTTTTCTCTTATTCTTAATTGTGATTACAATGCAAAGATTAAGCCTCTATTTATAGTGGAGAGGCTTGGTATGAATACAAATACAAGTGGGAAGTACTGTACATAATTGATACTCATCAATGGTTGTCTTAATCTACTATTCTAGAAAATAGGTCAGATTAATTGAATAAATGAACAATCATTATTTTCATAACACTCCCCCTTGAATGTTCATTTTTCAATTAATGATGGGTACTTCGTGAAATGGGTATAGTTTAGGAACCCATTCTAATTTTATGTACTGCCTCGTTAAAAACCTTGTCAGAAAAAACCCAGTGGGATAAAAACCTGATCAAGGGAAAAAGAGTACAGTTCATAAAATTCTCCCCCTCAGCTTAGCATAATTGACGGAGGCGACGCATGCCAATCTTGTGTACGAGTTCTTCAAATTTCTTTGGGGGCAATGCTTTTGTAAATAAATCAGCAAGGTTCTCACTGGACTTGATTTGCTTGATGTCAACCTTTCCATCTTTCTCGAGATCATGTGTTGAGAAGAACTTTGGTGATATATGCTTTGTTCGGTCTCCTTTGATGTAACCTCCTTTCACTTGAGCAATGCATGCAGTATTGTCTTCATATATAGGAGTCGGATGACTAGTAATTGTTTCTATACCACACCCGCTCTGGATATGTTGAATCATTG